GGGGCAGAATTCTCCACATTGGAGAAGTGGCATGAAGTGCAATCTTATCCCTTCTATGTTTAGTTCCTGTCCCCAAGGTTCACTCTTGGCCACACTTAGTCTCTGAAGACAGAGAACTGACTATGATTTGTTCTTGTGAATTAGTTTGTCTTCCTTTATTGAAATTCAATGGGGGTAAAAATAACCGCTGCCCATTCTCCCTGGCCTGCCAGCTCTACCTGGGCTGAGGGAGTGCGGAAGGAACAGGAAGGGCTGCTGCAGATGTTTAATAGAAGAAAGCCCTTTGGGGATGTGTTTGCATGACTCATAAAGCACAATTATTCTTAGCTTTCCTGTCAGCAGAGATGAAGCTCTTTGTCCACTAATACAAGCTTCCGAAAAGGGAAACCCAAGGTCCATTCAAAGGTGGAGCCCAATAATAGGCTCTCCTTACAGCTCCTGTCCCAAACCCCTGGAGTTACATTGTATCATTCTTTGCAAGCCTAGAACTCATTGCAAAATCTTACTCATTTGGTGTTTTAATTTATTAAAGTAGAACTGCCTGGTTAAAAAAACAAAAAAAGGAACTGTTCAATGCAGTAACAGCCACTTTAATTCATAGGTAAGAGTCATCCATTTGGCTATTCCCATATATTCTGGCTTAAAATGCTGTGCCACATAGAAAACTTAGCACCCTTTCTAATCACCTTTGTAGAATCAAACTTCCATCAAACCCTGATAATCTTTTGGATAAGCACCAATTAGGCAGTAATATACCACAACAGTTTACTAAAGGATCGCTCTGCACTTTGATGGACGGAACAACAGAAATGCTAGAAAAAAAATTAAGACTTAAAGACAAAAAGAATTAAAACATATCCTCTAACCATGGATATGGTTCAGTGGGCAAGAGTGTTGATTACTATGCAAGCATGATGACCATCTGGGTGTGAGTCCCTTAGGAGCCCCATGAAAATCCGTGACTGGATATGCTGTTTAGAACCCCAAGTCTTGGGGGAGACAGAGACGAGACTCCTAGGAGCTTGCTGGCCAACCAGCCTATCGAAAAGGACAAGTTTCCTGTTCAGCGAGAGACCCTCATACAAAGAAGCTGAGAGCAGTTAGACCAAGATGCCTGATGTCCTATTCTGGCCTTCATGTGTGTGCAAATAGACAACATGTGCTTGCATAAACAAATACACACACACACACACACACACACACACACACACACACACACACATGCACGCACATACAAACACACACATATGCCTCCCCCGCCCCCAAATGCATCCTCTTTTATATTTTTGGTTGTGAGCCTAGCCTTTAACGGCTGAGCCATCTCTCCAGCCCAATGCATCCTCTTTTAATCTTCCTCGCCTCTTGGGTCTCTGGAAGTTTTTGGTGGTGATCTCCTTCCAACTCAATCTCCAGTTCTGTTTTGGAGATGGCATCCTGAGACTCTGTCATTCTGTGGCTGTCCTACAAGGGTTTCTCATGGGTTGAGGGGGCAGTAGATGCTAGAATGACTGTCAGCATTCAGGAGTCTCTGTGTTCAATCCCAGCACTGAAAAGCAAAAACAACATAAATAAGTAGAACTAGAACTTGCAAGTTTTCAAAATAGTATGTTTGGGGACTTCAATATTTATGTATATATGGAAGATTTGGAGTCACTGTAAGAAAGACACCCATGGGAAGTCTTATGAGTGTCTTTCAGTTAAACATTAGGTTCTTGTTGTGTGCTCATATAGTATATTGTACTTATTTCCAGGAACTTAGTATTTTCTGGGGGATAAGGAATATGTTATTACTGTTAATATTCTCCCTTGTTGCCTATGCTACAAAAACTAATTGCTTTGCCTATTTTATATGGCAACTTTACTGATTTTTATGCAGCAAATAATTTTTCTTTCCTTGTAGTCATTACATGTTTTGCCTCTTTTGCTTACACTACTGCTGTTGACAGAACTGAACACTGGCTAGCAGCTATGTTGACAGTCTTATTTGTGTTATTAAAGGAATCAATTATAATACACTACAAAGTAGTTTCTAATTAGTTTGCCTAGGAAGGTCCTATTGAGCACCTAATGAGTTTTCTTTTTGCTGATACTTTAGGTGTTTTTTTTTAAATCAATAATCAATGTTGAATTAAGCTTTTAGATTATGTATTTCATTTTGCATGTATGAGTGTTTCGCCTGCATGTATATTTGTGTGCCATGAGCATACCTGATCCTTGCAGAAGCCAGAAGAGGGTGTCAGATGCCCTTGAATTGGAGTTACAGACAGTTGTGAGTCATATGTGGGTGCTGGGAACTAAATCATTATGACAGCTCCAGCCTATGCTGAGTTTTATCCAAAGCACTTAAGTACCTATTGAGATAATCATGGAACTTTTCTCACTTAACCTGTTATTTTAAAGACCACGGATATTCTACTATTAAGCACAACATGTATTACTAGAATGGGCCCAAACTGTCAATGATACATCAGCCTTTCCATATGGTCATGGTATGGCTTGTTCATTTTCTATGTAGGATCTTTGTCTTCCTGTTCAGGAATAAGATTTCTATCTAGCTTTCTTCCTCTTCCTTTGCATGGCGGCCATGCTACCCAAAGTTAACTTAGTCTCCTTGGCTTGCTTATAGGGTGAGTACTTTCACTCTTTCCTATACTTTAAATATTTTGCTCATAATCAAAGCATTTATCTTCAGACTTTTGTAAAACTTGCCTAGGGGATGATCTGGGTCTCCTCATTCAATTTTCCTGAATCTTATGTTTTTATACTAATTCATTTTCTTTAAGGTAACACTCAAGTCTTCCCATTTTTTTTCTCAATAGTTGTAACTGGTCTCATAGTTCTACAGATTCCTCTATTTTACCTAATATTTCCCATTAAATTCTTCATATGGTTTCCTTGTAATATTGGCCACATCTCTGGTTAGAAACTTTTTTTTATTCTGAACATATTTTTACAGCTCTTTACTTTTACATTTTCAAGCTTGCCAAGTATTTCTCACCTTTCTTGGTTCTTTTTTAAGTGATTTAGTCGAGTTAACATTTTAGATATGCTTGCTTTCTACTAAAGTTACTTCCACTATTTTAAATATTTTATCTTTCCTTTTTAAGAGAGTAATGCATTGTTCTTTTTCAGGTTGTTAAGATGGACAGGGCTAGTGAAGGGCATTTTGTTATTTGTGATCATCCACATCACCCCTCTTCGTAAGAAAATTACTATAATTTTGCTCTAAACTTTGGAACTTGGTTTGAATAATAGAATGTAAGACAGAGGGACAGGGTGCCAGATCTCTTCCCTTTAATCGGGGCTGAATCTTGAGAGGTGAATTGTAAGTGCAGGAACTGGCTTTTCAGCCTTGAACATCAGATGGGAAGACAGCAGAGCCAAGCTCACCCTGCTTATAGCCTCCAGCACAGAGTTCTCGGTCTTCCTACCGCTGCAACCCTTTAAGACAGTTCTTCATGTTGTGGTGACTTCCGACTAGAAAATGATTTTCATTGCTACTTTATAACTGTAATTTTGCTACTCTTGTGAATCATAATGTAAATATCTGTGCTTTCTGACGGTCCTGTGAAAGGGCTATTCAACCCCCAAAGGGGTCGAAACTCACAGGTTGAAAACCACTACACTACTGCAGAACTAACTGTAGGTGGGCCAAGGCTCTGCTACATAAGCAAGAAATGATAACTAAGCTTTTGAGCTCATTTTGTTACTACAGCCAAGCTATTGGTATCTCAAAGTGAGATAGTCCTATAACAAACAGTTGAAGATGTACTAGTATATTATTACTAGAGGCTGGGAAAATGGTGACCTGTGACACAGAATGGCACAATGTTTAGCAAGCTGACACCTGCAGTACCTTGAAAAGAGATATTCTATCTACTTACCGAAAGATGGCTTCAGAAGCGTTTTCCAAACGGAGTGTAACCAGTGCTGCGTGATTATTCCTCATCCTCTGAACTACCAAAAGAGCTCTGGAAATTGCTGGACTGGGGTGTAAGCAGAGAAAACGGACATTAGAGTAACCAGAAGTTTTAAGGATCGGAGAGATGAAAAGATAACTGCTTCCATTTATTAAAACGGAGTAAAAGCGGAATGCTTTGACAAAGATGCTCAGGGCTAAATATGCCCCCATTGAAATGTATTGGCATTCATATCCTTTATAACGACTGTTAAATGTTTTAAGTTCGTCTCTGGAAAAGCAGGTCATATGGACAACTTAACAGGAAGATGGCCACAATCTTCTCCAATCCTGGTAGTTCGTATTATAAAGAAGGCTTGAGAGAGAGGCGCATTGCCGAAGAATTAAAATGCAGCTATTTGCACATGCTTTTGATTAAAATTAAATCACTTCTAAAATAAACATGATTTTGGAGTCACAATGCCAAAAGTTCCAATAGCCTGGACTAAAGGGACTATAATTGTTAAGACTTTTGAAACTTCGGGGCCAGTATCTTCGTATAAAGAGGGAGCAAGATTCACAAGCTCAGCCCGTGTAAGATGCATTCTATGAGGAGCCTTTCATGATGTGGCCTAGGAAGATAATGGAAATGATGGTTCTTACAGACAGATTAGCTCAGTACTGTGGAAAACAATAGGCTGGGGAAAGAAAGATTTACGTAATGTTCCTTATCATTTCTGCAGTGGGACAGTTTGTTGAAGTTATTACCCACTATCACATGATTATACACCTGGAGGATTTTTTTTTTGATAACCTCTAAATTTGTGCCCAGTGACAAGAATGTCATGAAACCTTAGGCTTTATATTTAATGGCAAGAATTAGTAGGTATTTAGAGTTTCTCCCTAGAGGCTGGAGTACACATCTTTTGGTTATAAAAGGGAAATGAAATTTGTGTCGAGATAGAGGATAGTATTGTATTTCCTTAAGTACATCTCAAGCCATTGCCTTTAGACTTGGTGAAGTCTTGCTTGGATAGTGAGTGAATTCTGAGTAGAGGCTCTTGGACACAAGCCAGTCTCCACCAGCTCTGATATTCTTCCCTTCATCCTTATGAACCGGAAAAGACTGACAACTGCATTACCACATTGCTATTTATTACTTCCATTAAACTTACATCTTGGATTGAGAAGACACAAGGGGCAGAGTCACGGGTCAGAGTAACACTGGAGCAGATCAGTAGCTGACTCACAGGTCCAGTGTACATTCTGATACCACTACATAAGTTGAAAATCACAAAATTGGGGAGAGGGACATGGGAGGAGTTGGGGAAAGGGAAGTGGTGGGGTAAGATAGATGCTCATGTATAAAGTTCTCAGAGATAATTTATTTTAAACAAAACAATCATGTACCTAACCTGCAGAGGATCACAGCTTAGCACTATGGTGCAACATTGAGGATTGGTTATTTCCCCTGCAAACACGTGGCTGAGCGGGAGCTGCCCCTGCCCGACACGAGAGAATATTATACCATGTCACCAGCCTGGGATTCAAGATTAAAGTACAGTTCTTGAGAAAGTAAAAAATAGATGCACCATGTGATCTAGCAACAACACTATGAGTAAGTAGCCAAAGGAGAGGAAAACAGTGTACTGAACAAACATCTGTATGCCTATGTTCACGGCAGCAATATTCATGGCAGCCAAGAAATGGGAGCTACACAAATGTCTATTTCCTGATGAATGGATAGAGAAAATATTATGGACCTGCCACCAACCACATGTCCCTTCTGCATCGAATCCAGCCAGCCAGATTTCTTATATTTTTCTCCAGGCTCTAGCCTCATAAGTCTCCCTGGGTCTCCTCACCCACACCTTCTCTCCAAACCATCAGATCTATCCTGGTTCCCATATCCTGTCCCCGCTTTGTCTACCCATCCCTATCTGTGCAGCAAGCAATGTCTAGACTTCTTCCAGGACTTCATCTCTAGCCCCCAAGCCACAGGCTTCTCATATGGCACATCCAACCTTTCCATCAAGTCAGATCTAACTGACCACTCAAGACTTAGACCAAGAGGCATGTCCTGTACAGCAGCCCAGTTCCTTCTGTCTACCTGATCATTCTACCCGAGCTATTTCCAACCTCTTGGCCCATCTGCCATTACACCCTCTCTTCTGTCAGAACCTGCTCTGTCCATATCAGATTTAGAATTAAGGGCATGTGAGGTTCGCATGTTCAGACCTCATTGCAAAGATAAAAACACTATGAAAGATCAAGCCAGTACTTTCTTTGTAAAAAGTTATTAGTACTGTAGAAATGTTTGCCAGTGAGAATTATCAACATGAACCTCATGATCTCCAGGACACAGAGCTTAAAAAAAAAGTCATAAACTTCGTGAAAGAATTCAGGAAGTCTAAAGACACACACACACACACACACACACACACACACACACACACAAACAGCTCAATGAAATTAAGGAGAAAGAACTTGAGAATAAATTCCTCTGTGATGAAACTGCCCAAGAGAACATAAACAAAAGGCCGATGGAAGTGATGAAGACAATTCAGGACTTGAGAATAGAATTTTATAAGGAGATAGACGAATGCCAGATTGGACTAACAGAGGCTTTGTCCAGTGACTGATGGAGGCAGATGCAGAGATCCATGGCCAGGCACCAGACTGAGCTCTGGGAATCCAATCAATGAGAGAGAGGAGGGATTCTGCAGGTGGGAGATGTCGAAATCATGATGGGAAGACATGGCAGAGATGAATGGCCACACTAGTGGAAGCCCATGAACTGTGGACTAGTGGCTGTGGAGCCCCCATGGGACTGGACTAGGCCCTCTGGCCACAGAAGACGGTTGTTTGGCTCGAACTGTTTGAGGGGCACCCAGGCAGGGGGATCGGGATTTATCTCTGGTGGATGGGCAGGCTTCTGGGAATCTGGTGACTGTGGTGTGATGCCTTGCACAGCCTTGGTGCAGTGGGAAGGGGCTTGGACCTGCCTTAGGCTCAGTGTGCTGGGCTCTGCTGACTCCCCATGGAAGACCTCAATTTGGGGGATGTGGGGATGCGGGGTGGCTTGGGAAAGAGGGCTGGGGGGTGGGAGGAGGGAGGGGGTGGGATCCGTGGGTGGTATATAGAGTGAGTAGAAAATTTCTTAATAAAGAAAAATGTGGAAAAAAAGGAAGATAGACACATTGAAGGGGACTCATGCTGAAATAAAGGTGGAATTGAAAAACCCAATAACCCAACAGGAAAACTAAAAGGAAAGTCTTGCAAGTAGAATGAATGGAACAGAAGATAGAGTATCAGGACTTGAAGATAAAGGAGAGGAGCTAGACCAAGTAAGAAGGGATATAAAACAAATTTAAAACCACAGAAAAAGAACATATAGAAAATGATGTGAGACATCATAATAAAACCAAACCCATGAAATATAAAAAAATAAGGAAGGATGACACTTCATCCTCATCAAAGAAACACTTAACCAAGAAGACATTACTAACCTAAACATATTTGCACCGAATTCTGGTGCACCCAGTTTCATTAAAAGGAAAGGTACCACTGGAGTTAAAGACACAGATTAACAACAATCTGTTACAATTGGTGGTTTTTCTACCTCACTTTCTCCAATAGACAGGGCATCTGGACAAAAAAATAGAAACAGAAACGTCAGAATTAATTCACATCATATACCAAATGGACTTAACAGTTATCAACAGAATATTCTGGCCCCAAACCAAAGAATACACAATCTACTCAGTTTTTTTGTTTTGTTTTGTTTTTTGTTTTGTTTTGTTTTTTTACACAAAGGCTTTTCTAAAAGAGAGCACATGTGAGGACACAAAAACAAGTTTTTATAAATTGAAAAAGATTGAAATCACTTCTTATATCCTATCTGACCACAATGCAATAAAACCTAATATTGACAGCAAGCAGATCTCTAGTAAACACACAAACTGGTGGAGATTGGACAACTCACTGCTGAATGATGAATAGATCATAGAGGAAATCGAGACAGAAAGAAAAAATTTCTTAGAATTCAATGAAAATGAAAACACCACACAACGTCTGGGATACATGAAAGCAATCTAGGAGGGAAATTTACAGTTCTAAGTGCCTATATTTTTTAAAAAAAAATCAGAAAGAACTGGCTGTTCCCTGTGATGAGGCAAGACTTCAAGGGGAGGGAGTGGGAAACCAATTGAGCCACATAACCTTTGACCTACAGTCTGTCCTGCCTATGGGATGTGCTGGGGTGAGGGTGGACTGGAGATTGAGGGAGTGGCCAACCAGCAACTGGTCTAGCCTAAAACCCATGCCAGGAGAGTAAGCCCACTCCGACAGTGCCTGGAGCATGAGGATGCACAGGCTGGAAGACCCAGGGGCCTAGTATAGAACCAAACATGACTACATGAAAAAAAAAAGTCAATATAATGATGCCTAATGATATTCTGTTATACTCATAGATTGGTGTCTAGCCCAATTGTCATCAGAGAGGCTTCATCCAGCAACTGATGGAAACAGATGCAGACCCATGGCCAAATGTTAGGCAAAGCTTAAGGAATCCTGCAGAGAATGGGGAGGAAGGATTGTAGGAGACAGACACCACAAGAAAACCTTCAGAATCAACTAACCTAGGTTCATAGGAGCTTACAAAGACTGAACCAACAACCGGGGGGCCTGCATAGAACTGACCTAGGTACTCTGCATATATGTTACTTTTGTGTAGCTTGGTCCTATTGTGGGACTCCTAACAGTATGAGCATGAGCAGGGACTGTCTCTGACTCTTTGGCTGGCTTTTGGGACTCTACTCCTCATTCTGGGTCACCTTCCCCAGCCTTAATACATGGGGAGATGCTTAGTTTTACTGCAACTTGATATGCCATGTTTTGTTGATATCCATGGGAGGCCTGACCTTTCCTGAACAGCAATGGAGGAATAATGGATTGGAGGTGGGACTGGGAGGAGGGCGGGGAAACTGCTGCTGGGATGTAAAATAATTTTTAAAAAATCAGAAAGAGAAGAAATAAATGACTTGATGCAACTCAAAATTTTGGAAAAATAAGAAAAAATCAAATTCAGACTCATTTGATGGCAAGAAATAATAAAGATCAGAGCAGGGATATGCATGCCAAAAACATAAGCTGAGAAAAGAAAACATCTTCAACAAAAGGCACTGGGAAGACTGGCTATCTGCTTGCAGAAGAATGAAATTAGAAAAAAAACTACTTTGTGGTCTCAGGAACATGGTTGAAAGCTTGCAGAGAAATAGAAATGTGGATGTTAAGGATGAAGAGCACTTGAAAGGAGAAGGAAACATTAAAGACATTGAAGGTCTAGTATATGTTGTCTAACCTAACATTTCTTGAAGAAGCATCTCGAAGGACGTGAATTTGTTCTGTAATCGAAAACACTCATTTAGATTTGCTCAATGAGAGGAAAAAATGAACAAGAAAGAAAATCTATGACACTTTCATATTCAATATAATGAAAACCGTGATAATGGGACCAAAACCAAACAAGGATGTAAAAAAAACAACACACTCTGTGTCCCCAAAGTGAGAGATAAACAGACTTTGCTTAGCTACATATCCCCGTGGCCACCTAAGAAAGCATCTTCTGGACTGAATATCTAGAAAACTCTGCCAAAAAAAAAATTTAGTCTTGAGAAATTCTCCTTGAAACATTTACTCATCCAAACTAGCATTGCCGTTGGCAAGGAACGGGGACTTTGGTGAGAATGATGACGGGCGTGGCCAGAGCTCATATACACATGAGAACAGAGCAGGGACCTGGAGATTCTCCTCCAGGTTCTCCACCATCCACCTCATCTTCTCCCATCTCCATCCACATACATACTTCCAGCCAGAGACAGGAAGCACAGATATGCTTTTGCATCCTTTTCTTCTTTTATTACTTTTTGGGGGGACACCTATTATGTTCCAGGCACCGTGGTGGACTATAAGAAGATGGAATCGTCTCAGCCTCTGTTTTCATAGTCCTGCACATTCATAAAGGCTGTACCAGTATTGAATGACACAATGTTTTGTGTTAGGGAGCAAATGAAAAGTGCCTCAATGCCCTAAATGGAAGAAAGATAGTAAGTACTTCCCTGTCGGTGATGACCATTTTCAGCATAAAAATGACCACACTGTTTCCCCTGTTTTAAATAAAACTATTAATCAAGAATGCAACCAAGATTACCAGCGAGGCCATAAGTATCCCAAAAGGAGGAGACAGCTGGATTCTCACAGTGTTTTCACATCTTCCAATGCAGTGAGATTTCCTCCTCACGATTACTAAAGACTTTTTTACTCAGATCATGATAACCTTGTGCAGGACTTCTCAGTTACACATGGTAGTCATCACAATCTCCTTCAGAACTCTTAACACTTCCTTATGCATATATATTCCAGTTCTGATAGCAGGAAGTTAGTACTGAGAGATTTAATTTTTGTAGTCTCATAGGATTCTAGAGAAGGACTTCATGGTGGATTTTTGGGTTTCTCCCTTCATCAAGGGAAAGGCAGAATATCATCAGAGGTAAATAAGATCTAGGCATCGTTCAGTGTGTTTAGGTTCATACCACCTCACTCTGGTAGTTTACCCAATGTTGCAATGAGGCCCAAAGAGCTTTCTTCATTGTTGTTTCATTCTAGAACATTTCAACTGGAGGGCTAGGGAGATGGCCTAGTCGACAAAGTGCTTGCGTCAAAGGCGTGAGATTCTGCTCCATTGCACACACACGCAAAAAGCTGTGTGTGGTGGTGAGTATCCATTTTCCCAGGATAGCGGGGCAGAGTCAAGAGGATCCCTGAAGCTTGCTGGCCAGCCAGTCCAGCTGAATCAGTGAGCTCTGGGATCAGTGATCTGTCTCAAAACATAACCACTTCCAAAATGAGACAGTCACTCGCTTCTTCACACAAAGATGTGTGTGAAGATGAGCTTAATCATTCCATTGGATAAAACAAATGATAATAAAAATGTTTTTGAAATAATAAAAGGGCAAATGAGTTAATTCTTCTTCTTCTTCTTCTTCTTCTTCTTCTCCTTCTTCTCCTCCTCCTCCTCCTCCTTCTTCTTTTGTTTTGTTTATTTTTCTAGACAAGGTTTCTCTGTGTAGCCCTGGATGTCCTGGAGCCTCTGCCTCCCAAGTGATGGGATTAAAGGTGTGTGCCACTACCTCCTGGCCATGTTCATTCTTCTGACGTATACCAGATGCCATCATTTAAATGTATAATTATTATTCAAAATATTAATGACAGACTTTACATACTTTTGCTGTGCACAGTCTAAAATCCAATGTGTATTTTTCATTGACAACACATCCCAATTTGTTTCATTAGTATTATTCCAAATGTTTCTTCCTTGTATGCATCTAAGCATTACTGACTTCCATAGCTTAGCTTTAGAGAGTAGAAGTGTGCAGGTAGGAAAGATGAGCGTATACTAATCAAGACAACAGGTTAAAAGGGAGAGAGAGGGTTACTGATGAAATGTCTAAATAATTTCAAGAAGTTAAGCAAAGTAGAGGCTCTGTTTAAAATTGAGACCTACAAATAAACAGATCATATTAAAAGAAACTGTCCAAAACTCATTTATAAGGGATTACTTAAGGTTTCAATTTAGATCAATGTGTTTTAAATTATCTTGTTTATAGGGTGGAGAATTCTTAATATAATAATTCACCACAACAGCCAATGCAATGACATTTGGCCTTGTCAAAAAGAAACACTGTACTATGTATGGCTGCTAGGTTTCAGGTTGGGGTCTTGTTTCTCTGCAAAACAATTACATGCACAAGGTTTAATTAAGCAAAATGAAAACAATATCTCCCTAGGTTGGATTTTGTGCATTTAGATAAGGAGGTCCAAGAATATAAATGTGCTTAGTCACATCCACACTGCATCTACTGTGCAACGCTTACATACATTCAGCCAACATTGGCTTTATTATTCTCCAAGTTTACCGGGCTCATCAGTTAGTTGTGGAAGTCAGCAGTCAACTGTCTGAAGGATCCAAGAATTCTATCAGGTTTTGTTGCTGTTTGTCTAATCGTTTGAGGGAGGAACTCAAGGCCAAGAATATATCGAGTCTGTTGGTGGTGACAGTTAAGAATTACATCAGCCCTTAATGAACACATACTTATTAGTAAAGCAGGAGTAAATAGATGTGAAAGAGACACAACCTTCTGATCTCTGTGCTGTAAATTTTGGGGAAAAGTCAGACTGGTAGCCACAGTCACTGGACACACTGGATGTTTGACAGAGGGGCAGGACCTACTGGCATTGATTTAAGTGAGCCTCGCAATACAGAGATTTTAGCTAACATTGTTAGAATTTGGTTCAATAGTTCCAACCTACGCTTGTGCATTCTTATTCATATCTTCTAGATTATTTAACCTTGCATGCTCAATGCTCAAAATACATTTTACTCCACATTGTTTTACATTTAATTCATGAAATACAACCTTTAATATATAATTTAATTTTTAAAGAAGTGTCCAAAGTATATCTACCTACTTACTGTATCAAAGCAGACCTAAGCATATTCGAGAATATAATCAAAGAATCATTTGCCAGCCATTCCCCCTGAGGTTAGCTGGCTTATAGAGTCAAGAATAGCTGCTGAAAACAAAGATTCCCATCCATCTCATTTCATAAGACACTGTCATGACAGGATCTTGGTACTACACAGTCAAATCCGGCTGTGTCCTGAACAAGAAACAGAGTCAGATAATTGTTAGGCACACCCAAATGGTTCTCAGCAAGCCTTAGCCGAATGCCAAAAACACAGTGGTCATGTGTAAAAGAAGATAAGATAAGCATTATCATCCCATCTATGCAGCAGCCCCTTAGGCTCCTAAGACATAGTAAGACTGTCTGAACTATCCTCACGAGTGATATGAACAAACAAAGCAAAGCTATATGAAATGCATGATGCCTTCGCAAGTTCTGGGCACTATGCAATTTGCAAAGTAAGCCCAGCTTTTACCCCAGCCCCCTACTCTCACTAATTATTCATCAAGCTTATTCCCAATCTGACTTCTCATTTTCATAACCTAAATTCCTCTTCACCTTTCTACCTCTCTGCTCTAGTTTTCAATTTTTTCCCCTCCCCACTCTCTAATGCAAAAGTACATTATGTCCCTAGATAGCACATTTTATATATTCAGGTTAATATTATTAGACTAAAACATTTCTCTGTCCCACCATCGATCCCTGAAGCAATCCTGAAATGGTAAGCGATTTAATGCAGAACTTCAGTCACTTTCAAAGGCATGGACCCCTCTGCTATAATAGGTGTGTGGATTTCACTTTGGTTCTTATTTATATTGTTTACTTTAGAGGATAGGAAGACTACTATTAACTTATAATTATGGCATCAGAGAGCACACAATCAAAAAAAGAAACCTCTTGAATTACATTTATATTGAAGCAAGTACTTCAGGACAATAACATCTCTAGGCAGGCATTCATGTGCTTAGGTGTAAGTCTCTAGCTTGACGTCAGCTGTGGGATCATGAGTAATTATTCAACTTCTCCCAAAGCCTCTGTTTCGTCATCTGTAAGATAGGAATAAAAAGGAAGGTACACTAGTGAGATCATACCACAGTCCCTTGACCATAAGGGAGCTCATGAAATTAGTCATGTTACTGTTATTAGTTATCATTGTAATTGTTAACAGCAATGGGCTGGACAGGTGGTTCAGTGGCTAAGAACATGTACCGCTATTGCAGAGGACCTGAGTTTGATTCCCAGCATCCACACCAAGTGGCTCATCACTAACTGTAGCTCCAACTCCAGGGAATCCAATGCCTCAGGCCCCCAAAGACACCAGCATGTACATACACACACACACACACACACACACACACACACACACACACACACACACACTTTAAAAATAATAATGTAAATCTTTAAAAATATAAAAATAAATTAAAATTTAAACTGATAGTAAACATTATCTTAATGATGTCCTTGCAATTGGAAATTGAGTATCTAATGGTCCATTCAGTGTCCTAAATATATACTGGAAAAGATGACCAGAAGGTGAGTACTATGGCCAGGAACATGGAGGCAGTCTCCTCTTTATTATCTCAAATCAAGTAGGAAATACAAGACACACACCAGACACTTTGCCTTTACTTGCTAATATGAACTCTGGTTTAATTGATGGTTCTCATAAGCCCATTTTAAACATTGCATTTATTCTCCTGATATTTATCTGTCAGAAGGACTGGGTCACCTGCCTTTCTTTAGAGATCTTTGGTTTCCCTCCACCGAATTTTGCTAATTGCACCCAGCGCTGTCATTAGAAACTGTCATTCCCAGTTCTCATTTTTCCTGTCAGTTTTTACATCTTAGAAGCTACCAGATTCTCACATGATTGTTTGATAATGCTATTTAAAAAGAGATACAGTGCTCCATCAAGGAACTCTGTAGTTGTAAAAGTTTTCCTGTGTCTTGCCCGGTCCACATCCACTCAGATCCAAATAAACATACAGAGGCTTATATTAATTACAAACTGTGGCCATTAGCTTGGGCTTATTACTAACTAGCTCTTGCACTTAAATTAACCCATAAGTCTTATCTATGTTTAGCCATGTGGCTTGGTACCTTTTCTTAGTTCTGCCTTGTCATCTTGCTTCCTCTGTGTCTGGCTGGTGACTCCTGACTCAGCCTTCCTCTTCCCAGAATTCTCCTTGTCTATTTATCCCTCCTATACTTCCTGCCTGGCTACTGGCCAATCAGCAGTTTATTTATCAACAAATCAGAGCAACACATACTCACAGCATATAGAATGATATCCCACGGCATAACTCAGTCTCTTTCATTTTTCTAAGCTGTTCTTAGGGCTCGATGCCATCCTTCCTGTGGAGGGCACAGGAGAAAGATGATAAAACATGCCTGTTGCTCCTTCATTTTCTTCCTTGAGCATCTCTGCACAGAGAAACTTCTCCTTATGTTTTATTTATCAGGTGGGACAAAATAAGAAAAGCTGGGCAAAGGTTTCGTTTGACCCTCTTCCTCCATTATTTTTTGTCTGTTTTTAAAAGTATGTGTATGTTCTCTAGTTAGGGGGAGTTAAGTGAAAACTAAACTTTTGACATTAAATCAGAAGATAAGAGGGATTCTCATTTATCTTCAAAAGAATACATAATTTGTGTCAATGGAAAGAACCGATGAGCACCAAGACTTCCATTCTGAAATACAATTTCCAACTCAGACAAAACAAAGTGCAGGAGACAGGTAGTATCCAGATGAATGTGGGACATTTCACCATATCCATCAACAAGGAAGTTGTTTAGTGCTATTGAGGTCATAATAAAATGATTCTAAAAATCAACGAGAAGATCTCACTGGCAAGAGATGAAACAATTCCGGCTGTGCAAGCACATACAGTTTGACTGGTGCTTTGTATACACTGCTATGTAAACATTGTTACTCATCATTTTTAGAATTGCTTATATATTTACCCATTTTTGCCTAATTATGTTTTCAGTTACTTGGTATGTACCATATATTACAATAAAAATCAACCTTACCCAAAAGTTGAATCATTTGATCAACAATAAGGATGTAAGCTGAAATGAGTAATTGCCACTGTGTAGATCAGTTCTCATCTGTGTGCATATGAAAATATGAAAGAAATAGGTGAGCAGATTCAACTGATCCAAGTCCAACCTCTAGCTTGAATCACTCCCTAAGACGCATCAATATATTCAGCATTCTACAATATCCTTCCAACTGAATCCCCAAGAGAAATCTGGAACAAAACCAAGTTTAAGCACCTCCTTTCCCCCATCTTCAGCATCCTGGTAAGGGTTTGATTGGTACCAACATGCATCACCCAAAAAGAAAACTGGTCATTCTTGGTCTATCTTTTTCCCTCAACTTCCATCTGAATTCACCAGCAAATCTTGTTTTTTCTACTTCAAAAACTACATTCAGCCTGTCCTTTCTATTTATCCATACCCCCATTCAGTTGCTGTTTCCTTCTTCTTGCAGGATTATAGTGGTCTTCTAACACTAAGCAACTGTGTCCATTTCTAATCCATTCTTGATGCTGTGGCTAAAAGCAGAACAAAAGCAAATCTATGTCACTATCTACTTACAACCCATTAGTGGCCTTACATTATCAGAGTAGTAAGATAGGCTTGAGTTTCTGTCACAAAGCCAAAATGTCTGTAAATAAAGAAAATTAATCTCTCTCCAGAGCCAAAACTCCTAGGCAGCTCATTATCATCATTCCAGATTGGGCCAGTTTCATAGCTCTGGGTCTGGGTGGTGTTGCTCAAAGGCGCATTCCTTAACACTGTGTGCCTCTCCTCTCCTTCTGAGGCATGTGTAAGACCATCCTCCTCAAAGCGGTTGCATCTAGGAGACAGTTATGTCACTGGTTCTAACCAATAGATTGCAAGCAGAAATATGGCCTATAAAGACAGACTATTCCAACCCCAGCACGTGCATGTTGGTTGACAAAGGTAAAGTATCTTTGCAAATGTGAGTAAGGATTTTGAGGTGGAAGCTACAGTGTATTATCCAGTGGGCCCAACATAATTATAAGTACCTTTATAAGTAGACATGGTAATGAAAGTAGTGAAGACAGAGGAGATGAAGGAGATGGAGGGGGCAGGAAGAGGAGGGAGATGGCAAGAGAAGTAATAATAAAAGAGAAAAGAGGTGAAGTGGAGAAAATCTTCCCCCCGTGCCACATCAGTAACAACATCTGGCTTCTACCATCTCTCCCTTTGTCCTCCCATGTCCCCTGCTATAGCTGAAGCTCTATTATCTTATTCTATTACAATAAACTCCCTCCTCTCCTCCTCCTCTCCTCCTCCTCTTCTCCCCTCCTCCCCTCCTCCTCTTCTTCTCTCTCAGCCTCTTACGGTCACAGCCTCTTATTATCGTTTCTCCCAATTTGCCCCTAAAGTTAGGCAAATGAACTTTATCCAAGCCATCATTTGAGGTGATGTCTATCTCCACCTACAAATTCTTCAGATGTGGCCATTGCATGGGCCAGTTTGGCACGGCTCTCTTTTTGTCAACCTTTGCTGGCATCTACCATTGACACCCAGCCTTCTCACACTCAACATGGCCAGTGCCTGCCATGTGTATGTAATATTAAATAAGTTACTTAGCAGCGTGATTGACAGACTTAAGCCCAACCAACTTCTTTTGTAGAAATTCTACAGTATCCTTTCATTCTATTACTTCTCTTCTCAAATACTACACTCTGATTTGGACAACTTAGGGTACATTTCCTTGCATTACTCTCAGGAAATGGTAAGGCTAGGTACTCAATCCACACTGCCTGACATCAAAGGCATGCCATTTCTATACACTTACCCTGTGGCCTTAGGCAAGTAACACCTTTATATGCCCAGGTTCTAATTTGTGAAAGACAGATAATAATAAGCTTAATTGATAGAGTTTTGTGAATATTAAATGAGAAAAATGTCAATGAAGCATTAGTACACTGAGTGTCACTAAGCAATGCCTCATTTGTTTGGTCAACATTGAACGGGGTTTCTCTCTTCCTTCCCCATTCACCTGGTATGCCTTTATGAAATCTTCCCTTTTAGCGTTCAGTTCAAAATCTATTTTTTTCTATGAAAACGTCCCACTAGATCCATAAATTGTAAACAATCTCCAAATTCACATGTTCACGGTATTTGGAAGTGGGACCTTGGGGGATAATTTGAACTACATGAGGTTGTGAAGGTGGGGCCACTTTGATGGCATTGTTGCCCCTTCTAAAAAAGATGGGAGAGATCTGAACTAGCACAGTTGCTCTGTCATATCATGCGATACCTTCATGCTATGATGCATCAAGAAGACCCTCAGTGGACGACAGCCAGATGTCAACACCAGGCTTTCAGATCTATAAGAAAATGTCTTTCCATTCCAAATTACAGTCTCCAGTACATAGTGATAACAGAAAATAAGCTAAGACTCCTACCATCATGATGCAAATAGATTCCTTAACCAGATATTCTTCTTGTACATGCACATTTATGTATTCACTATTAACGACATCATCCAACTAATTATGAGAGCCAGATAGAGTCTAGGAAAGAATGACGTAGTTGAGAGCCCTCAGATGGAGCTAACAAGAGGTGATCTCAAGATTTTTGATAGGCTAGAATTGATCCAGTAGGAATACAGGAGAGTTGAAGCAGGGATGTGGCTGATCCCAAGATGCCTAAGAAAGAACTTGTAGGAGTGCCCATTCGTGTACACTGATGGGCAAAGAAGACTCCAGGAATTCTTACTAAGTTTCAGATTCTTTTTCACTGGGTCTCAGAAGAAGTATAACTTGCTACATTTTCAACAAGTCCAGCGTGCTGCTGGTCCCCCGATCCCTGTCAATCATCAGGGCTCTGGGGTTAAAGGGAAGGGTTGAACTCACAAAGCCACCACTAAGACCTGTGGACCAGTGAGATGAGAGAGAGTCAGCTGAGCAGTAACGGTGTCAATGAGAATGGATGGACCAGGAAGTTCAAAACAAAATCAAAAGCAGGAACTTTGCACGACTGTTATGGCAGTGACATGGAGTCAGTGCCCAGGAAAGGGAACAGAGCCTGGAACAGTTCAGAGAGAAAAACTGATGATACCAAAGCCAGATACACGCATCCTACCTTCTTGTGGGGAAGAGAAGAACTTGAAACTTCCAAATTTCAGTAAATTATACCCTACAGTTGCTTCATTTTCTAGCTGGGTGATCTTTTTTGAGTATCTGTTTCATCCTCCTCTGAGAAAGGAGGAGAGAAGAGGGAATGAAGGGGGGAAGGAGGGAGAAAGGTGGAGGGAAGAGAGAGAATGATGCCTTTTTAAAAAATATATCACAAAGATTATCAAGGCAGTTCTCCCATGGACTGTCAGCTTGCTTAGATGACTACAAATTTCTAAGCTTTTTTTTTTTATGTATCTGGGTTCTGGGTATTATGATGACTATAAATGTGATCATAGATCTATTTAAAAAATCATCCCTCCCCACTTCCTACTTAGAACAAAACTCAAAAGTCTTGCCTAAATGTCTGGGAAGGGAATGGTCTCTGTTGGTTTGTAGTTGAGCAGAAGAATGTGAAAATCTAAGATAAGGGGATTGCAAAGACCAGGCGGGTTAACACCTCCAATAAATGTCATGAATCTGGCTGGAGCGGCGTACTCTAAGGGTGACTGACTGCTCTTTCAAAAGACGGTCCCCAAGAGAGAAATTTAGGCTTGAATTTTGACATTAAAAACTGAGACTTACTTAAAAACCTCTTCATTTTGAAATGTTGGAGGTGGTTCAAATATTTAAACACTTGTTTGGGCCACACAAAACCTATGTGCAGGCTCAGTTCCTGCCCAAACTCACCATTTCCGCCCTGCCATCTTGGCTTTAATCCTTCGAGGAATTCACGCCTGCTAAAAGAGGATAAAGATACCCCAGAAATGCCCCTGAATGGTAGACTTTCATGCAATTTAAAGTGTCAAGAATGCAAGATGGGCTGGAGAGATGGCTCAGCTGTTAAAGGCTAGGCTCACAACCAAAAATGTAAGAATGTAAGACTTTTGGAGTACCCTGCATACTCAGCATTTTAAACAATCCTGCCTATTCATATATCATGCTTGGGACAAAGGTCAGGAGTAACACAGCCTTCATCCATTGAGAGCTCTTGGCAATGGCTTGGGGAGGTTTCAGGAGACTTTAACTTAGGAACTACTCCAAGATTCTAATGGAAAGACAGCCTTCAATATTTTCTTTTCTAGCATGAAGTCACAGCTCTCATATTTGTGTATTCTGAATAAATAAGAGAATTCATTATCAGTTATTGTTATTAGAATTCATTATTCATAGAATCCCATTCATTAGTCCTTATGATTTGCTTGTCTGCTTTGAGCAGTTATCAGTAATGTCAGGCACTGTTCTAGGCTCTACAGGTGCAACAGAAAGGGAGTTGGGGAAGAGTGGAGGAATACAATAAGGAATGTAAGAAAAACAATAAATTAGTAAACCATTTCAGAAAGTGGCAAACAGATCAGAATGGTGTGGGGGGAAGAATGCATCCTTTGAAGGTTGGCAGGTCTGCCGTTAAGTAAGTGGTCCCAAGGTACCTCTCAGGAGGTGACATTTGGATGGAGACTGAGACATATGGAGATATGTAAAGAGCATGTAAAGAGAGAGGAAGGCCGCTCTAGAAACAGAACCCTCTGGTGGAAGCAGTGTGAATCATTTGAGGAAGATGGGGGATGTACTGAAGAGGAAGGAGGTGATGCTGAAATCTGAGAATGAGAAGGACCGGGTATCAACTGAGGGGAAGAGAGAGCAAAGAGCAGGAGGATTGGCAGGGAAGAAGACTGGAGTTAGCTGAGTGCAGTATAAAACCAGTGAACAGATATAAAAAGGGGGAAATGATAGCACTGATATTTCTCAGTGGTTATTTAGGCCATTTTATAAAGAACAGAATGAGAGCAGCAAGAGTAGGTAAGACCCTGCTTTCAGGATAGAGCCAAACATGAGTAGTGGACAGGAAAGCGTCATGACCCCACGATGGTGGTACCAGAAGTCTGTACAGGAGGGGAAGAATTCAACATTCAGATAAAAAGCCAATGAGATGGTGATGTATGCATCCAAA